CAAAACAAGAGACGGTCGATCACTTGCGCCACTTGACGCCATTCATTTACCAGTGCTTGGCAGTGGTCTTCCATTTGTTGTCGCCTCATTAGAACCTAAAGTATTGAATGATTATTAGAATCACATACAACTTAATAGTTTATACCTAATGGTTCAAGCCGACTGGAAGGTTGGTTTAGACACCTTGTGGATCATAATTACATTAGTTTGAGATTGAAAAGATGATCCACAAGAAAAAAGGAATTGCCGGCATCTCACATATCAGACTGAGCTATTACGGCATAATCCAATGCCTTCGCGGTACTTTTACGCGGGTCTTTCACTTTTGACTAATGTAAAATTATGAAATGTGAGCAAATATAGAACATATTCATCACTTATGGTATGCTGAAGTTTTCTTCACATTTTTCAACAGCAAGGAACTTCTCAAAATGAATCGTAGTATATTAAAAGAGATCGATAAAAGCACCATAAAGTTTTCAGTGTACACTCACGATCACAATCAACCTTCACAATAAACATTTATATCCAATGTAAATAGCTGCTTCTCCAGGTCAACTAAATTTATACTTGCTTTGAATGGTAGATGGTTGGTATTGCTCTAAAGCGTAAAGCAACTGAATACCTACCACAAGAGTTTTCATCAATCGGTGCATCGGTAATTCGTTGCTCATTCGCTTCTTTTTATGTGTCGCTGGGAGTTCCTCATCAACGTTTATTATCGCTGTTTCTTGCATTTTTGAAAACTGCATATCAGCCTCATCAAAATTTCCGCCATCTGAAAAACATGAGAAATGAAGCAAACAACTAAGTGCTTGAGAACCGACGACATACAGCAGAACTTCGCTCATAGCAAATGCAATATTCTTCAAAAAAGTGATAAGTGAACCGAAGCAGACATCCACATTTTTTGTTGTGCGATGTTTACATTGACAAGTATGAAATTGCTTGTCGTTTTATCGAAACTCTGTGTCACTAATCGCTTCGAATATCGGCAAATGATACCAAATATCGACCAGTAATCAAACACAGCTTCAGATAAAGGTAAATAACGAAAAGCAAAATTTTTAACAGAAACAGTATTTTGCTCCGTTTCATTCAGAGATGAACCAAATTACTTAACAGTACCATCAGATACTACTTTTCAATAACGAAAGAACACTAATGAATGGTAGTTATTGAAACATGGTCATTTAATGTAGTATCAAAAATCCACTGGAACCAAACAATAGTAAAAGTAATGAAAATATGGATAGTAATGTTTTCAGTGCATACAATGTGATTTTAGCAGTGATTGGTGTGAGACCCGATTCACGTGAATATGAGATTAGGAATATTTGAAATAACAGTACTGAAAAAATTCAATACTTCAATGAATAAACGTTTCAGTTGAATCATTAACAGTCTTCTTCGAAAAAATTTTTCGCTGTTCAATTCAAATATATATTCGGATGCAAATAGCACCCGATTTAAAATAATAATACTCGTGAAAATGCTTCTCTCAATAGCACTTCTGATTGATCTTTTGAGAACTTAATTCATAATTTGTTTTTTGGGAAACAAACCTCCGACCATTAATTTACGATCTATTTTTCAATTTCGCGCCCAACAGAAATGAAGCTAAAAAGAGAACAGTCGTTGAAAATGAGTAATGCAAATGAGTCACATATAATCGAATGAACTAACAAATGAGCAAATTTATAAATATATATGAATTGGGCGTGAGGCATAAAAGCTTCGGCCTAAGGTCGTTTTGATGCCGAACGACTGGAAGCAGTTGATTTCCTGAGTCTCTTGTACATTAGGTAAAGAGGCAAAATATTACTGAAAGACGACTGGTTAGGAATTATTGTTGACTGAATGAATATTCATGAGTTATTTTGTTGTTTTCGATGAATGAGATTTAACAGTAGTGATTGTTGTGAGACTGAATTCGTATAGGCTATGGTTTCGAAGCCCTGTTCGGTTTCTGAAGTTTGTTTGATGAAAAGTGGATGACGGGTTCTGTGACTTACCCGTCTTCACTCATGTTTTGTACATTTCTTATTCTTCTATTGAAATGTGCCTTTTTTGGCTGCTGTATTCCACCTAATGATAGAGATTTTGAGATTTTCAGTATTTATTTCGCTCAGTCTGATCACTTATTATGTTTGCATTGAGATATTTTTGATTTCCTTGTAAACGACTAATATAATATCATCTTTTTATTCCCTACGCACTTTTCCTTTACGCACTGTGTGCTTCATCATCAATTTACTATAACCTACTCCAAAGCAATGTACTAGAGATGTCATAAAAAGGCGGAATGCTCTGGCACTAAAGCATCCCCATACTAAAATATCCATATCACAATTTCTCATTCCCTATATTCTTGTTGATAGAAAGTGAAGATCCTGAGATGGAGGTAACATGCGGTCAAAAACTATCAACAATTGTTCCAAGATAACGTTTCAAAAATTTATCGACATTTGTTGTCATTCACGTGCGACAACGTAGGATTGCTCTTTCATTATAAATAACGACAGAGTTTTTCTTTTAGCCAATCTATCTTTATTATGGCGATGAAGCGACAATATCGGGCAAAATGGCAAAAAAATGCAGATGTCTAATCCCAACAGTAACCTTATGAACGTTTCAGTCCTGCGAGATAGCGTCTTATTGGAAATGTTTGATTGCTGGGATGGGAATACAAACAAAAATTAAGCATTAGGGAAAATATTTAGTTGTAGATACTTTTAAAATATACGTTCCGCCAGTTCCTCACTGAGAATTTATCATAGTTTGAGGAAAGTTGATAAATTCAATAATCTGATGATTGTGCGGATGTTGACTGGTAAAGGCAAATAAATGGACGTAAGCAGATAACGGCAAACAAAAACATTTTCATTTCATTCGAAAATATGTCAGAGGTAAACGAATAAAGAGAATCGCATACGAACTGGGATCATCAAAAGCAGTGGCAGTGACGAATGAGTGAGTTCCGTTCGCTGAACAAAAGTCGGAGTTGTGTGCGAGAGGCGGACGCATACAAAGTGCTCGACGCAAATTGTGCAACACCAATTGATGTATCCATTCTGGGACTGCACTATTGAATGCTTCTCTGTGATGAAAACTTAATACCTTAAAGTTACACACATTTATCTTCCACCATGATTCCATCTACCGATCGTATGTCTAGGCTTAATCTAACCCTTAATTTAACACTCGATTAGTTGACACTTCCTTCCTTCCCTACTAGTAACCAAATAATACTTATTTAATTCTTGTCACATAAACACTGTGAAATCTGAGCAATTTCATGCCCTCTCAACCATTCAGATCACTATTTTGTTATAGAACAGAAACGAAAAAATAATCATAATCTACCATAACAGTCATAACCACTGAAACA